TGTCATGCTGCCCTTTTAATTCCCAATAACTTATAATCGTCTACACTCCGTGAGGTCATTTTGCCGTGTTAACCGGTGGAAATGAAGGAAGATGGAGAAAGAGAGAGAGAGAGAGAGAGAGAGAGAGGCGCACGCACACTCACGCACACACACATACTTGTAAGGACCTGGAATTGGGGGTATGGTTTTGTCACCGGAAAACGGGGACATTTTACTTAATCAATTAGTTGAATTCTAATTATCAGAATGTTATCATAAACAATTCATTTATACCAAAAACAGTTTGCTTTCACAATAACTTTGATTATTTTCATTCTATATAAACGAGTGGGAGCACTGGAGGCTCTGTTTAAAAAAAAAACTGTTACAGTTCTCCTTGGATCAGATATAGACCTAATCAATTTGTGTAGAACTTTGCAGGAATTATTAATATGTGACGTATGTCCTATCTGTGAAATTGAAACGTTAGCAGTGTCCTAGTATTCACACTCACAATCTCTATCTTTTCCCCTCTCCCCCTCCCATCCCTCTCTTTCTCTCCTCGATCCGTCCCCCCCCCCCCCCCTCTCCCTCAATCTCGCTCAATATCTCTCGATCTCTTTGTAAAAATATTTGTATGTATACCTTTTTAATACTTTTGTGGGACTTCTGTAGATTCCGTTGATCCGTAATGATCTGAGGTAAGCTCTGCTCCAGGATAAGGAAAGAAAGATCAAGAGAGTTCCAAAAAAAAGGAAGTAGCACCCACCTTTTATCCAGCCTAGGCCCATTTTGTCATAAGATAAAACCAAAATATGCGATTTCCAGATGATTTTCTTCGAAAGCAACAAGGATTTGGTTCTTCTATGATTATAAACACGACGATATAGTTTTTCATATATATCATATGTATTTTTACAATGTGTGACCAAGACAATTTTTCATGTGTTCTTGTGAATGTGGATGAATACAAAGAATTTAATTTAACACAAAAAATGAAACCAATAAACAATAAATATCAATAACAATGTAATATAAAGGAGGGCTTTCTTTCCAAATCACAGTTCAGTTGCACAACTACAAAAAGCATGCAAACATTTTGAATGTACATACATCTTCTGCACTTGAATCACAGGTTTTCCTCTTCCGCCTGCTACATCGGGTGGCCACAGTGGCGGATCCAGGGGCGGGGGGGCCGCCCCCCCCCCTGGGAAAAAACGTTTACTTTTGTTTGGAGATGCCCCCCCCCCCCCCCTACTGAGCGAAATATTGACCGGCAGGATTTTCAAATTTCAGCACACTAAATTTCAAATTGATTTCAAATTTGGGCCCCCACCCCTAAGAAATCCTGAATCCGCGCCTGGACTCCAGACCCGCATAGATGTGGGGGGGGGGGGTTGCGAGGATGCGACTGCCCCTTTCTTGTTTTTCTTTCTTTCTCTTTCCGAGTTGGAGAATTTGGATGTGTCCCTCTTACACGGAGGAGATGTAACCCTTTCCCCTCACATCGATGAGTACAAGGAACTAATGACAAGGGCGTTGATACGTCTCGGAAATCTGATATTCTCTTCACATAATGGAATGTCCACTCTTATATATCATTAGAAAATCATTAGAAAACTATGGACGTAACAAACAAAAAGAATATAAAATGACAACTTTCTTCCCTTTAAAAAAAACAATACTTCAAACATAAATTGAATACTGATTTCGTATTTATGGTCATGTTGAAGTCATGCTAGAATATGCTGTTGTATATTTCCTCGACAACAATATCCGTTATATATTTATGAAGGAGTACGCTTACTGGTAGTATCAAATCACACAACGTGCACATATCCTGAAATCGATATTTAAGGTCCGGGTATTTGGAATGACGCACTTGATAATATTATTCATTTATAGTCTCGATGAAAAAATATATAAAATTCAAATATTCATAAACATTATATGGTTCTATTTTTTTTTATTTGATTGTTTGTTTTCTTAAATTAATTTTAGTTGACGTCAGGAAGAAAAAAATACACTCGAATCAAACACTTAAATCACTTTGTTATAAATCCATGGGACACCATGGTCTAGATATTTGGAATGCTTTACCTTGCAATATTTAACACTCTGCATTTCTTTATTCAATCAAAGCCTCGATTAAAAATATTTAATATCCAATTATTTATAAATATTATAAGGGTCTTAATGATTTTAACTGTTTGTTTATACTTTATAAATTAGTTTAAGATGTTCTTGAATAAAACGAATCGGACACTTTAATACTTCACCTGCACACACCCACATACACACACTTGCATTACCCCCTATTTCTTATTCCTTTTTGTCTCCTCTATTGAATCCTGTAGATATCTGCAAAACTAAAGTTCGATTTATAAAAAAAATGGTTAGCCTGCCCGATTTGACGTCTAGGAGCTCCATCATCATCATCATCATCTTTTGAAGTCATAACACTTTGTCTGATAAATCAACCTTTCTAATTTTACTGAAGTACTAGTAGGCTGCAATCAATACTAAAGTATCTTTTTCACCACGAACAGTTCCTTTTGTTATTTCAGATGATACTGACTGATGGTTTCAAATAACTATTAAACAGGCTTACGGCCGGTACATAGTCATTAATCACTCCCTACATTATACATGCATCCAACTACATAAAGACTTGTTAGTAATAAGAGACTGAAGCTTTGGAAGTGACACTCTATCAAAGATATTTAAGCACTTCAAAGAAATAAGGAACAATTGTGGATGACGTCCTTCCTGCGTTCTTTTGATTTACTAACGACTGGGAGACGAATGTTTTTCACCACAAAAGAAAGTTTTCTCCTGGCATTTCAGGGGGTGATCGATTATTATGCTTTTCCACATGACTTGTACTGACGATACAAGACTGTCCACATTGCATTCGAAAGGTACCAGTAGAGCGTACCGGACATCATATAGATAATCTAACTTGATAAAGATCTACCAAATTTCAACAATGTTCAACATCTGCTGTTAAAAGGTAAAAGAACGTTAATTTCTCATCATGTATGCCTTGATAACGGGTTTGAAGTGATGGCTATCACCATCATTGTATGCCCAATTGTATAAATACGTATCGAACGTATTAGATTTTGAATGGTATACTGCATGTTGTATTTTCTTAAGGTCTTGTTTAATTAGTTAAATTTGCGTATTAAATGCAAATGCCAAAATATCTCCATAGGAGAAGAAGAAGAAGAAGAAGAAGAAGAAGAAGAAGAAGAAAAAGAGAAGAAGAAGTAGAAGAAGAAGAAGAAAAGAAAAAGAGAAGAAGAAGTAGAAGAAGAAGAAGAACGAATACAAGGCAACGATGGAGAACGTCAATGCAAAGAAGAACAAGAGCATGTAGAAGATAGTAAAAAGGATAAATATATTTCAATTCGGAAATGTTTGTTTGGACTTTACTCTCCGCTTAATAAGATTATGATGGCGTCCGGGGAGCGATTTTTTTTTTCCCAAACAGGTTTACCTATGAGAGTAAAATCCTGCCTCCTGATTGGTTCAGAGGTATACGCATCATGAATATTCATGACTGAGCTGAAAGATACTAGTAGTATTACGCATGCGCGTGACACAAGGCGAAGCTGCTCATGCAGCTCATCGAAATCCAAGTTCGAGTTCGTTGATGCAGCGCAGCTATAGTACGTAGGATATACACTGCATGCATGGAAAAGCTTGTCTTTGACATGTGTAGAGCCTGTATATATTACTTTATGTCCTTTGTTTTCTTTGGCCAGGTTCATCTGTCACAAAGGAACCAGAACCACTGATATGTTTGTTTGTTTTGTTTTATTTCCACTTTTTCATATCAATACAAAGAAACATACAAATAAATATAATGAATAACATGTAAGTTTGACAAAATTTGTTTCTAGTTAAAATAAAAGTTTCATACAAAAGGAAAAAGCAGGAGACCACATGTCGTAAGCGTAAATGCTTGAACATGACCGTACGTGGCCTCTGCCGAGTTAACAAAATAAAAGAACAACCCATGCAACTGCATTGTATTCAATGTTAAATAATATATAAGTGAAGTGATTAAAAGTGAGCATGGCTGAATTAATTTTGAGTGAAAATAACAAAACAAATTTAGTGAAATATTTCGTGTTAAGAAGTGCATTTGTGCAAGGTGCAAAAATTAGCTTGGTGGAACAAAAAAGAGACTAATACCGTGATATTAATTGTGTGTTGGTTTCAGTTACGGGTGATAATATTAAATGTTTGTCAAGATATCATGCTCAGAGCAACACAGTGGCTTTGACCCACATCCAACCATTTCATGTCGGACCATCCTGATAAGATAATTCATACCCCTTGTGTGTGTCTATTGTGTATTCTTGACAGCTAGTGTGTGCATTTGTTGCTTATGTGTTTGTAAATACATGAGGGTGGGTGGGTCTGTGTTTATAGAGAGAGAGAGAGAGAGAGATAGTGTTTGTATGTATAGCCTATGTGCGAAATTGGAATATTAGTGTGTGTACTGTAAGTGAACTCTTTGAGAAAAAAAATCCGCAGTGTAAAACTATATAAACCAAGCACCAGAATAACCATAAATGTTCACAAACAAACAGACCCCCCCCCCTTCCCCAATAAAAATCCCCTCGCACCACAGCTAGCTCACATACATTTTGTACACCTAAATGGCCAGCAAAACTGAAGTCCACGCGCATGCGTAATACATATACTAGGTACTGCAGCTCAGCCACAGTGCTGTGAACTCAGTCGTGAATATTCATTCCCAGAAATGACTTCGGACCCCCCCCCCCCCCCTCCCGTGAAACATATACACTCATTCGACTACTTTGCATGGTATTTGGAGTGACTATACGACCAATCCAAGACTTCAATATTCGTCTTTAATATCGCGAAAAACGACACAAGGCATAAGGTGTGACACCTTTTTTTCCTCTGTCTTTTCTTCGTATTTTCGCATTATTGTAATGCAGTTGTGCAGAGGGGACCATTTTACAAGATTCACTTATTCTGCAATGCCGAGCAAGATGAACTTTACTTTTGGTTGTGTAATTCTGTTTTTGCTGGCATTACTCGCCGTGGCACAAGGTAAGCATACGACGTGATTCATGTTTGTTAATTTTGTTTAATGTTTGCACCCTCATATGTTATCTTATCGAGGAGGCACAATAAATCAGTGGTAGAGCAGTGGTATCGTAACCGGGAGGTTTCGGGTTCAAAACCAAGTCAAAGCGTTCGTGCCCTTTGCTAATTAAGGCATAAATTCTCATTACCAAGTCCCAAGCCGTCGCACAGTGGGCCAGGGAGGAACCAAAGTGCGCCAAAACTAAGTTTGGGTGATTTTTTTTTTTTCAATTTTTTTCTTGCCCAGTTGAAAGATAATACATAGAGGAATACCTCAGTGAAATATTTAATTCCGTTATGCACAATAAGGGTATAAATTTACTACTTCAAACAGCAAAATCCTACATATTCACAGTTTTAGTGCAAAAGTGACTTATTTTATAAATCTTTCAATTCAACATGAAGTTTTTAAGTTATTGATATGAAATTGCTCTCACATATTCCTGATAGTTCATTTCGTTGAATGAATGGGTTAAAATTAATAGAAACACAATCTTCATGATATATTATAGGGTAATTCACTGAAAAATGGACTAATTATCCATGTTTTTTATAAATCCAGAAGAAATGTTTAGATCTCCGCAGTGTACCGCTTAAATTTTAATACCACCATTTCCTCTGATGTCTAAGCTTTAAGTTGATACCAAATTTGGCTGCCCGATCTTGCCCGTTGTTATGTTAGAGCCAATTTCCCTTGCCACATTGCCCCGAAAAATGTGGGTTTTGGGGGTCCGCGGCTGAATCATGAAGGATTCGTGGTCATAAATCACGGCGCGAGGGGGCGCGTGACACTTATTCTGACACCGCGGACCGAAATAAACACATTTTCGGGGCAATGTTGCAAGGAAAACGGCTCTAACATAATAACGGGCAGAATCGGGCAGCCAAATCTGGTATCAACTTAAAGCTTAGACATCAGAGAAAATGTTGGTAATAAAATTTTAGCGCAAATCCCTGGAAATCCAAACATTTCCTCTGGATTTATAAAAATAAATCCCCAAACATGAGTTTTGGCGCACTTTGGTTCCTCCCTGGCCCACTGTGCGTCGGTCCCATGATTGCTTACGTAATTGTTGTGATCTCGTCTATATAATTATGTTTACATTTTGTAATGCATGTAAACAAAAAGACGAACCACCATAATATGTGGACAGTTACCGGTGAAAATATATTATATACATGCGTTCATATATATTTGCAGAAAGGTAGAATGTTAGTTAAATCGTCCTAGAACACAATTTGATGGTGTGCACTAATTTGAACGCGCTAGTAGACCAACACTCACGAAACCAATGCCAACTAGACCGAAAACCTCGAGACCGAAAGCCTTCGAGACCGATCAGCCACGGGAATAACAAAGCAGACAAAAAGGAAATAGGGTTAATGCCCATCTCTCACGAATGAAATAAAACATAACTTTATGAAAAATATTTGTGCAGACTTTGTGCAGATTTTTTTTGTAAAGAGTGCTTTTATTCTTGTATCATAAAATAGTATAATCAGCCAAAGTATTATTTCAAACTGACATTGTGTTCTTCTCAGAACCTGGATTTATGGATGTAGTATCTTTTAAGACCGAGCTCTTCGTGTGTGTATGTGTATTTGTATGTATATGTATATGCAACTTCATATAAATGATTATTTTCTTCATAAACTTAAGGAAGATAAAAAAAATTACGAGTTAATTCATTAGTTAACAGTTATTATTTCACAAGAAATTTAGTCACAATTCTCCTCTTTCAGCATTACCTGAAATAAAAAAGAGAGCGGTGGGGGCAGCTTAATATTTGTTTTTTTTTCTTCTCTCGCCCCTTCATTGGGCCAACAGAGGAATCACATGCATCATTTAGGAATAATTCCGACGGTGAATTGTAGTTTGGTCTACAACCAGTTTGTCTACTTCCCAATTAGTCTATTCCCATAATGGTTTACATCCAGCCATAATGAATGGCCGTCCAGAGGATTTTTTTATGTTGGGGACCGGGGTATAATGCAATAAATTATTGAAAATTTATTGCATTTTCTGTTTGTTTTTTTATTTATGGAAACTGCCCCCTCCCCTAGCCCCCGCTGCGTACAGACATTGTTCAGTGATAAAGCAATGGCCTCGTAACTGTGAGGCCCCAGGATCAAAACCGTGTCGATGTGCTATATTAGTGCCCTTTTGTGGAGCATATTACTGTCATTTATGACTTAAGGGCGTAGGCCCCCAAGCTGATAAGCATAGTAGCATACACATGCTTTAGCGGTCACGCAAAATACACAAATTATTATTCAATAAAATCTGAGAATGTATACTATTATCTAGATCTATTATTTTTAAATCATTTTTTAAATAATTCCATAAATTTGGGAAAAACAAAAATTTTCCAACTATATGAGCCACAGTGTATTTATGTATAACATGGGCAAAGGCATGGGAAAATCAAGTTTTGGGGAATAAAAGGGAAATTAATTGGATTAAACCATATAGAGCAATTGATAACTAGTGAGGACATGACGTCACAAACTGATAACCATCTTGGCAATTTGTGTTGTGATTCTCATTGTTCCATAGTTTTACATACTTTTTCAAAAAATTCATAACTTTCTTATTAGTTATCCGATTTCGCTCAAACTTTTGTTGATTGGTTTTTCTGATTTTTCTGCTTTTATTGAAAGTAAGTTATTTTTCGAGTGGACTTGTCCTTAAACAGCTTAAACAACTCTGATAAAGGTAGGAATACACTCTGCAAAATAAAGAATACAGATTTGTATGTTCCTGAAATGTGCACCCCCCCCCCCCCCACCTCTCTCTCTCTCTCTCTATCTATTGATATAGATTTGTTAATTCTACAGAGTTCACGTTTTGGATTTATGTATATATAGACTAAATTAAATATTGGAGCCGATCATATATGTTTATGCTTACATTTTCGATTCTTTGCCTTTTTCCAAGATATCAACGAGTGTAGTTCTAACCCGTGTCTACAAGGCTCTTGCATCGATCAGATTAACGGCTTTACGTGCTTTTGCAGCGATGGATTCATGGGCACAAATTGTGAATTAAGTAGGTTTTACATTTTCATTCTTATCAAACATTGTAATGAGCTAAACAAAAAAGGTCAAAGAAATCTATAATGTAATATTGAAAAACTTTCATGAAGGAACGAAGTGATCATAAGCATTTTTTTTGTAATAAGTTGCTTATTTGTTTACCATTTGATTCATAGATTTGGAATGTCATCCAATCCCCTATCAAGTTGAATAGATATTTGTATCTGTAGCTCAATTCCTTAACAGCTAAATACAAAAACTCTGATAAAGATATGAATACACTCTGCAAAATATAAAATAAAGATATGTACGTTCCTGAATCGTGAATACACTCCAACTTCCCCTCTCACTTCTGATATATATTGTTATACTTCAGTGTTCACGGTTTGGATTAATGTATACATAAAAGAAATTAACACTTGCAGCCGATAATCTATTTATTGCCTATGCTCAAATTTCCGGCTTCTTTGCCTTTTGTTAAAGATATCAACGAGTGTAGTTCTAGCCCGTGTCTACAAGGCTCTTGCATCGATCAGATTAACGGCTTTACGTGCAATTGCAGTGATGGATTCATGGGCACAAGATGCGAATTAAGTAGGTTTTGCATTTTCATTCCAATAAAATATTGTAATGAGCTGAAAAAATTCAAAGAAATCCATAATGTAATATTGAAAAACTGTCATAGAGGAGGGAAGTGATCATTAGCATTTGGTTCAATTCATAGTGTTATAAAAGTTGCTTATTTGTTAATATGATTTGATTCATGGATTTGTAATATAATCCCGTAACAAGTTGAAGAAATATGTTTATCTATAGCTGAATTACTTAACAGCTTATAAACTCTGATAAAGCTATGACAAATCCTTTACGAAATAAAGAATAAAGGTGTGTACGTTCCTGAATTCCGAATATACTTCCATTCCTCCCTTTCTCCCTCTTCATATATATAATTGTTTTATACTTCAGAATTCATGTTTTGGATGGATGTATAATTATAAAGACGAAATAAAATATTGTAGCCGGTAAAATTTGTAATGGCTTTGGTCAAATTTTCGACATTTTGCCTATTGTAATTATTTAGTTAAAGATAGCAATCACTCTAGTATAATATAATGTAATGCTATACACAAATCTTATTTATAGGATTTGCAAACCCATCATGTATTCTTCTTTTACTTTATGTTAGGCTTTATATAACGAGAGTCAGGCTCGACTAGCACATGTGCTATTTCTGACTCTATTTTACCATCAATCACAAGCTTATTATAACTAGTCATTTATTGTTTTACTCTTGACACAAATTTGCTTATAACTATTTGTTTTTTTAATAATTTACATCGCTGTAGAATATGTATTTTTAATTGATGTCATGTTTATATTAATATGATACTCATATTGTCATTGTACATGTATATGTCATTTGTTTCAATGGTGGTGAATATATACAATCAATTCAATTTTAAAAGATATCAACGAGTGTAGTTCTAGCCCGTGTCTACAAGGCTCTTGCATCGATCGGATTAACGGCTTTACGTGTTTTTGCAGAGATGGATTCATGGGCACAAGATGTGAAATAGGTAGGTTTTTCATTAAAATTGTAATGAGCTAACCGAAAATTCAAGGAAACCTATTTTGTAATATTAAAAAACTTTCATGAAGGAGGGAAGTAATCATAAAAATCTTGTTTAATTGATATTGTTTTAAAATGTGCTTATTAATTTTGTTTTTGTAATTGATTTCTGTAGCTTAATTACTTATCATCTTAAACACTCTGATAACGATTTGCATACACTCTGCAAAATAAAGAATAAAGATGTGTACATTCCCATACCCCCTCTCTCTCTATCATGGGCGTAGATCTGTAATTGATACCTATTGTTCAGGGGGGGGGATGATCTATTAATTCACCCCCTGAACAATAGGTATTACGTAAGGACTGACGCCCATGCTCTATATTGAAACTTTAACGTTCAAGTATTGTATTGATGTATATATATAGACGAAATTAAATACTGTAGCTGATTATATATTCAATGTCTATGCTCAAGTTTACGATTCTTTGTCTATTTTTAAAGATATCAACGGGTGTATTTCTGAACCATGTCAATATGGAGGCTTGTGTTTGGATTTGAATAACTCCTATACGTGCAGTTGCGAAGATGGATTCACGGGCACAAACTGTGAAACAAGTAGGTTTTTGCATTTTTATTCTTATCAAATATTGTAATGAGCTAGAAAATAAAGTCAAGGAATTCTATAATGTAATATTGCAAAACTTTAATAAAGGAGGGAATTAATCATTATTATCACGTTCAATTTACGTTGTTTCAAAAGTTGCTTGTTTGTTTTTGATTTGATTCATGTATTTGTAATTTCATCCAATCACGTATCAAGTTGAAGAAATATTTATATGTGTAGCTTTACTACTTGACAGCTTAAGCCGGGGTAATAATCTCCAAGTTGGGAAGCGCTTAGATATTGTAATAAGCCCCATATAAAAACTGTGTATTATTATTATTATCATCATTACCAAATACTCTGATAAAGCTATGATTACACTATGCAAATAGAGAATAGAGATATGTACGTTCTTGAATTTTGCATATATTCCCACCCCAAACCCGCTCTCTACTTCTCTCTCTTTTGATGCTCATTCGTTATACTTCAGAGTTCACGTTTTAGATTGATGTTTATATAAACGAAATTAAATATTTAGCCGATCATATATTTAATGCCCATGCTCACATTTTCAATTCTTTGCATTTGTTTAAAGATATCAACGAGTGTAGTTCTAGCCCGTGTCTACAAGGCTCTTGCATCGATCGAATTAACGGCTTTACGTGCTTTTGCAGCGATGGATTCATGGGCATAAGATGTGAATTAAGTAGGTTTTGCATTTTCATTCTAATCAAATATTGTAATGCTAACAGAAAATTCAAGGAAGTGTATAATGTAATATCACAAACTTTCACAAAGGAGGGAAGTGATCATAAGCATCATTTTCAATTTATATTGTTCTAAAAATTTGTTTGAAGATTTTAATTCATTGAATTGAATTTGAATTTATTATTTTATTTATTTTATTTTATTTATTTTATTGAAATATATTTAATCAGGATAGCAAGAATCAGATATACATTGTAGATACAAAATCTGTTTTACATCATGGTCCTGAACAGGATAAAAAATGTAAACATGGAAATATGAATAATGAATATCACCAAAGCTCACAGGCAAAGGTAAGAACATTATAAAAACTAACATATAAGCATAATACGCATTAAAAGTAGTAAAAAGCACCAAAAAAAAAAAAAAAAAAAAAAACGACAACGTAATAATTGAAATTAACAGCGGAAAAAACATCGAATCACTTGAATAAAAGGCATTAAAATATCATCAAACAAATAGAAGAGGAGAAAAGATATAATGAAACTGGTAACAAGTAAAGGAGGAAAGAGGGAAAGAAAGAAAGAAGGGAGAGGGAAATGGAGAGAGAGAAAAAGAGAGAGAGAAATAAGCCATGTCAAAGCAGTAAATGAATCAGCATTGTATCACACGGGTTTAACAAATTTGTCTTTGTACATACGTTTAAAAACATCGATAGATTTAGCATTTTGAAAAGCAGAAGGTAAACTATTCCAGATTTTACCTCCAGCGTATCTAAAACAATTCTTAAAACATTCAAGATTAGGCTTGGGTAAAACAACATTCAGCGTATTGGCAAGTCTAGTGTTAAAACCATGTCTGTCAAAAACCATTTCCACTTCATTGCATAATCGTACTGGGACTTTTCCATGAATACAGTTGTACATTATACATGATAAAAAATAGTCCCGTCTAGTATCAATGGATTGCCATTTTAATGAATTCATTATATTCAAGCTATTTACATCATAATCAAAATTCCCTACGACAATACGTGCAGCTCTATTTTGTTGTCTTAAAAGAATATTTCTGTTTTGTAAAGAACAGTTTCCCCATACGGAACAAGAATAATCTAAGATTGGCTGTATGGTACATTTGTATATTTTATTCAAAATGGAAGAGCTTAAAATTTACTGAGCTTTCTCAAAGTAAAAATCTTTTAACTTAATGATTTGGTAAGAGATTTAATGTGGATATCCCAAGATAATCTATCATCAATTTCAATCCCTAAATATCTGATACTTCTTACTTTTTCTATTGTTTCAGTATCAATATGCACCTTCAGACTTAATTCATCGTTACCTCGTGTGTTACTACTTAACATCATAACACTACTCTTATTAGTATTAATACGTAATCTATTTTTACAATACCATTCATTTATAGCATACAAATATGTTTGGAGCTTAGATGTAATGACATTAATAATCAGGGTCTATAATTTGAAATATTATTTTTATGACCTTTACCTTTATAAACAGGCGTAGTTATGGCCAGTTTCCAATCATTAGGTAAAAATCCACAATTTAAACTTTCATTAAAAAAAACAATTAAGAGAAATATTAATATAAGGAGCTGAGATTTGAAGTAATTTTCTATCAAATTCTAAGATATCAAGGCTACTCTCTTTCGACAATAGAGAGAGATTATGTTTCGTTTTCCCGGGACTAATTTAATTTCAAGACGAAGGTATGTATACTTTCAGGGTGCTTCCATGATAAATCATGATTACTGAAAGTTTCTGAAATCTTTTTACCAATATTTACAAAATAATCGTTCAATTTATTACTGTCTAAATCAGATGGTAAAACAAAGTCTTTTTTTCCCCCTTCCAGTAATTTTGCTTAATTCCTTCCATAACTTCTTACTATCATTACTATATCTCTCAGATACTGAATCAAAATATTCTCTCTTCTCTTTTCGTATCAGCTTGGTGGCTGAATTCCTGAGATTTCGATATTCAGTCAATAGATATGTAATTTATTAACAAAAATACATCACAATAATGACAGTACATTATATCATGAACAATCATACAATGCAAAGATATGAATGTAAAACTTGTTTGTTTTGTATTTACATATATACAATCAAATAATACAGTATCATGTAACGTTTTTACATTTCTTAAAGAAAAGAAAAGAAAAAACAAAAAATAAAGTTTAATTTGCTATAAAATCATTATAAAGAAAGATAAAACATCTTTGAACAAATGTAGTCATCAATGTGTTCTTAAAATTGAAAAGGATGTATCAATACAAATTAATAATATCATAAAAATGTGCGTACATGGATAAATCATGTAACAGCTTACGGGCAGCTATAATCGTTAACAAGAAAGTGTATACATATATATAAAGAAGACAAGTACAATAAAAGGAAAAAAGAAAGGGGACGGGGTTGACCCCACGTCATTTACATAGAAGGTAGGTTGAAAGATGTCTCCGAAAAGATAACCTCGATGTTTGTAATCTAATTTCATCTGGGAGATCATTACACAGCTTTGTTCTTACAAACGAAATACAAAATTGCCCTTGCGTTGTTACACATTTTGGCTGATATAGAGTAAGCCACTTTCTTTTCTCCTAGTTGCAAATCTGTGCTGCATCATCTGACAATAATCGACTAGAGAGTGTGGTAAAACACCTCTTACCAAACAATACATAAATGTTGATACAAGAAGTTCATGAAGTTTAAAAATATTTAATATTTCTAGACTTTGAAAAAGAGATTTGTAGTCTGTTCTATTAAAGTGGACCTATTGTAATTGCTCTAATTGCCTTTGTTTAACTTAAATATATACAATTTAGATTACTTTTGTAAGTGCTCCTACATACGTCTACTCCATAATAAAGGTTAGGTTGTATAAAGGCCTTATATATTAACACAAGTATATTCTTAGGAACAAAATGTCTTAGTTTAAACAGAATGCTTACTTTCTTTCGTATGCATTTGCTTATCGTCTGAATATGTTCTTTCCATGAAAGATGACAATCAATTTAAATTCCTACAAATGATCCAACGGATTCCTCTTTAATATCTGACCAATATGGATGTGTAATGTCATACCATCCCGTTTCAAGTTGAATAAATATTTATATCTGTAGCTTAATTACTTAACAGTTTCAAACACTCTGATAAAGCTATGAATACATTCTTCAAAATAAAGATTACAGATATGTACTTTCCGGAATTGTGCATACACTTGAACTTGCACCAATCTCTTTATTCACGTATTGTTTAAAACTGCAGAGTTCACGATTTGGATTGATGCATATGTAGAAGAAATTAGGATATTGTTACCAATCATATATTTAATGTGTTTGCCCACATTTTTTATTCCTTGCTTTTTTTAAAGATATCAACGAGTGCATTTCTGAACCGTGTCAATATGGAGGCTTGTGTTTGGATCTGGATAACGCCTATACGTGCAATTGCAACGATGGATTCACGGGCAAAAACTGTGGAACAAGTAGGATCATGCATTTTCATTTTAATCAAGTTTTGTAATGAGCTATACAAATTAAATGAAATCTATAATTTAATATTGAAAAACGTTCTTAATTGAGGGAAATGACCATTAGCATCATGTTCAATTTATACTATTTTAAAAGTTCCTTATTTGTTTTTTATTTGATTCCTGGATTTGTAATGTCACCTAATCCCATATCAAGTTAAAGAAATATGTTCCCCCTTAGCTCAATTACAATAACAGCTTTAAAAGTCTGATAATGCTATGAATACACTCTGCAAAAAATAAAGAATAAAGATATGTACGTTCCTGAATTTTGCATACGCTTTAACTTTAACACCTCTTTATTCACGGCTGATAAATGAGGAAACGACAAACCGTTCGAAGTATGCATTTTTCGTAGCTTTTATTTAACATTGAATTCTGTCATTCCTACATGTTTAATTTAACAATGGCGGTACATGAATTCACACCAATATTATAATAACATTACACACAGATTTGAGTATCCAACCCAATTACAGAACTAGTGCTGGAATCTAAGATGGAAAATGAGGATTCATGTGAATGAATGTAATCTGCACCCCATACATGAACCTTAAAGTCTAATTATGTGAAATCCATTCGTATAGCCAGAGAAGGGTTAAACAACGGATAGAAACCCCTATTCGTAAACTAATGTCCCTCTGCATTGCCACGAGCACCTCTTGCTAGCCGTCATGAATGCCCAATCAAACGGGGAAGATTGTTTTATGTAACTCGGATGCACCACTCATTCCCAGCTCTCAACAACGATTCCAGCAAAAGTGCATTACACACAAATTGGAGTATCCAACCCGATTATAGAACTAGTGCTAGAATCAATGCTGAAAAATGAGGAGAATCGCACCCCATACATAACCTGATATCCAAGTACTAAGCCATCAGGAATGCCGCCCCATCAAACGAGGAAAATTTTGATGTAACCCGGGTGCACCACCCATTCCCAGCTCAATGCTGGAATCAATGCTGGAAAATGAGGAAAAATCTCACCCCATACATAACCTCATATCCAAGCGTTAAGCAAATTAGGAATGCCCCCCCCCCCGACCAAACGTGTTTTTCACCCGGGTGCACCACCAATTCCCAGCTCTCATCAACGATTCCAGCAAAAGTGTTCCCAACCGGGCCCCATCACTTCCCTCCAGGTATACCTCCCCGCATGTTATTACGAAAGAGGATCATGAAATGACTTGTCCTACGAATGGTAATATAATTTCTTGCTAATATGATGTAAGTGTGTGAAGGCCAAAATTGATAAAAATCCGCCAACGAGCAAATTAAATAGCTCGCCCTCAAAGAACAGAGTTTTACCGGATAACCTATTCAGCTCGAGGTGAACATTCTTGAATTGAATAATTGAAGCCTACTAATTACCAAGCAGGAATGTATAACCACTCCGGAAACCATATACCCAGTACTGCAGGCAACCCTTGCTTTTTCCCACTTCTTTTAACCAAAATTCAGACATAACTCCCTAAAAGAAATTGCTTTACTCCATAATGTTACAACCTTACTTTAAAACCGCCACCAATAACCACCCATAGTTTACAAATAATACATAGGTGTGAATGCGTTATGGTCCGATGTAGTCTAGTTCTGGACCCTTCTAATGATTTTGTTTTATTCGCCGACTATAAGCGTTAAAGTGCGGGTTCATAGAAAATCACAAATATGGCAAATATCGTATTACTAGAAACTGGTCTGCTAACAGATGGCCATCATGCAAGTTTTAGGTTAACTACATATCGGGTGATTTATAAAAATACAAATCAAACAACTTCCATAGCATTTGGGATATGCGAGAGATTCGCCAGAAAATAACGATGTTTTAATGCCGTCACAATATGAACCAACCCTGCCCAAGCAGACGACATCCCATAAAGAATGAACATAATTGCAATGCTTTTATTTCTCAAATTATAATGAGTTTAGTCTATATAAATGTGATGGAATCTTACACCATTCAAAAAGGGATATGACCCCCATTCTGATAACTAAATTCTTTTGTTTGTAAATACACAGGATAGGAGTTAATGAACAATCAAAGAAACCACACTTTCAAATTAAAAAACCTCCGGAATGATAGCATGGACGTCATTTGTTCCCTCTTGAAACGCCGAACATGCCGCGGTGTGTGCAGCTGAAAATACAATGGCGTCTTATTTTGTTTACAAGCGACGGATTCCTTTTTCCTTGCATTTTTCAACAAAATAATACCATGCACAGGGTTTAGAGTGAGGCAATAGTTTAAAAATTTCGCCTGAGGGCATTGAAGTAAGAGAAATTACTGAAGAAAATATGACAAAACAGGCACTGAAATTGTGTGAGATGTCATGGGACATCGTCTGCTTGTGCACATCATGTTCAACATGTGACGTCATATCTCAGCAGCGACCGGAGAGCTTTTCAGGTGCTATGTCAGGGCTGTATCTAAGCGTTTTGTAATTGTTAATAATCATTACTTCAAATGTTTCCAAGCATTGGCTTTTAATAACCTTGGCCAATCAAAGTGTCACCTTTGCAATAATGACATTAAAGTTAGTTATTTAAATCAATAAACCTTCTCTTTAAGCCGTGTGATGGTGCGATCCTTAGTGACGGCGCGTTTCGAGCAAGTTCTGGACCCTTTTAATGATTTTTTTAATCGCCGACTATAAGTGTTAAGCCGAGAGATGGCGCACGCCGTCACTAAGGATCGCGCTATTACTCGGCTTAACGCTTATAGTCGGCGAATTAAAAATAATCGGTTCAGAAAAGGGTTCAGAACTAGACTATGGTCGATGCGGCGCATAAGTGTATTCACTATGGTGCAATTAATACAATTCACGAGGCGTAGCTGAGTGTATTTTGTGCCATTGCGAATACTTGAATGGCCCTGCATCGCCATATGAAGCGACGAACGAAAACCTGTGTATTATTTAATTGATAAAATTGGTCGACAATTTTACTTAGCAAGTCGATAACACTGTAAGCCTGCAACCTTTATAAGAAATAACGTGTGCACACAGACGATCGCGGCAGAAGTGGCCTCGTACACAGACTGTGCAGTGCATGATGCGACTTGAATAACACGCAGCGTGCAATATTCCTTTTTGTTGCACCTTTTTTTACGGCTGTTATCATCAAAATGCACTTCCCGTTGATGTATAAACCACTACAATTGAGATGTTTAAAGGGTGTCCCTGTAATTACAGTGTACTCACATTCCATGTTCCAACTCTGATGGTATTCCTATTGCGAACAGTAGCTGGCTGACAGTCGGGGTCCACCTGTCGCACATGGGACACCCTACCAGGCGAGGTACTTGTCTCTTGAGGTAGACGAGCCTCCTTCACGCCTTTGTCTTTTGCTTTAGAGTTGTGGTTCATCATGGTTGTTCTTGGAATAATAGTGAAGTGGTTTTCCGTTGCCTTCTTCACCGCAGTATGTAGCCGTATCTGGGGTTATCCAGCACGCCAGACATTATCAGAGATTCACCGTTGTCCTAAAAGGATCTTCCGCCGAAACACTAATACTGCATCGCTGCTGCCCAATGCAAAGCAAGCTAGGCTTATTTAAAGGCGGCCCAAACTCGCCTTCACAATTCAATGTCTTAGGGGATATGCAAGTTTGAATTGGTCCTACTGGTGCCACCCATGCAGTACCACCACCAGCCCCTGGTGCTGAATGGTCCCCCCCCCCCTCACTCAAGGGTCGGAATGACCGCATGCGTGTTGCCAAATTGTCCATTAAAGGGGTACTTTTTGTGCGACAAAGTCCGGCCCGAGGATTGTAAAAAAAGGGGTGTATTTGACTTTTCACCCGGAGATTTCTTTAAAAAAGGGGGTGTTTTTTTTCCTTTTTTTCTCCCATCTCTTTGGATTCCTGAGAAATTATTCATAATTTAGGGGGTACATTGAGCATTTTTCCTGATTTAGGGGGGTCTCCAAGGCAGGAAAAGCCCGCGAAAAGCCCGCGAAAGGGGTTCGAAAATGTTGGCAGTCCTCAGATAGGGGGTGCTTTCAAAAAGAGGGAACGAGCATATGCGTACCCTAAATAACACTGAGTGGGGGGGGGGGGGGCAGGCGCGGATCCAAGATTTCTTAGGGGGGGGGCCCGAATTTGAAATTATGCGAGCAAAATATTGGTACGTAATGGTGACCAACAGCGACGTAATGCGGGGGGGGGTGCAGGGAGGGGCGAGTTTTCCCCTCCCTCTTGACGTTTCATTGAATTATTAGAGAAAGAAGACGATTCGTTTTACCGTTCTCGAAAATAATCCTCGTCTGATTTAAGTTCCCCCCCCCCCCCGCGCAAAGCGCAAGCTTTTACGTTTCATTAAATCATTAGAGAAACAAAACAATTCGTTGTACAGTTTTCGACTCTTAATCCTCGTCTGAATTCAGGTTCCCCCCTCCCGCGCGAAGCGCGGAAGCTTTTAAGTTTCATTAACCCATCAGAGAAACAAGACGATTCGTTGTACAGTTCTTGACTCTTAATCCTCGTCTGAATTAAGTTTCCCCCCTCCTGCGCGAAGCGCAGAAGCTTTTACAATTCATTAAATCATTAGAGAAAGAAGACGATTCGTTGTACCGTTCTCGACTCTTAATCCTTAGATTCAGTCCCCTCCCCCCCCCCCCTCCTGCGCGAAGCGCGGAAGTTTTTACAATTCATAAAATCATTAGAGAAACAAGATGATTTGTTCGTATCAGGACAATTACCCCCTGGGCAATCACCCCCCGGAAAATTACCCCCGGAAAACTACCCCCGTAGGGCAATTACCCCCCGGAAATTACCCCCCGGGATCACCCCCCAAGGACAATTACCCCCCAAGACAATTACCCCCCGAAAATTACCCCCCGGAGAATTACCCCCCGAGGACAATTACCCCCAAGGGAATTACCCCCGAAAATTACCCCCGGAGAATTACCCCCCCGAGGACAATAACCCCCCGGGGACAATTACCCCTCGAGGACAACTACCCCCGAGGACAATTACCCCCCGAGGACAACTACCC